AAAAAAAAAAAAAAAAAAAAAAAAAAAAAGCCTGGTTTTCCACATAAATATTAAAATTTAGCTGAAGCAGGAAACAGTCTTTGGCGCGGAGGCTCCCGGCAGCCCGGCCTTATGTAAGGGGGCCGGGGCTGGTGTTTGCTGAGTTAATATTCAGGGCGTGGGGTGAGCACAGTGTGGCTGCGGGTTCTGTGGGGTGAGCACAGTGTGGCTGCGGGTTCCTCGGGGTGAGCACAGTGTGGCTTGTGGGTCCCGTGCGGGCGGAGGAGCCCGGCTGCAGACGGGGTGAGGCCTGCGATTGCGTAACAGCCTCCGGGGCGTGTGAGGCTGACTCAGGCACATCGTCTCTGCGCAGAGGGCATTCGCTGCCTGGCTGAGCATTTCCAAAGACTGAGAATTAAATCTCTTCCCCAATACTTCCCCCCAAAAAAAAAAAAAAAAAAAAAAAAAAAAAAAGCCTGGTTTTCCACATAAATATTAAAATTTAGCTGAAGCAGGAAACAGTCTTTGGCGCGGAGGCTCCCGGCAGCCCGGCCTTATGTAAGGGGGGCGGGGCTGGTGTTTGCTGAGTTAATATTCAGGGCGCCGGGCCCTCCAGGCAGAGGCTGCGAGACCCCGGGGAGTCCCTGCCCCCCTCCTCCCTCCCCCTCAGTGGCCTCGCCTCCTTCCGGTGGAGACCACATTATAGTAACACGCTCCTGGGCCCAGCTCGCGTTGTCCCCGCCGTGTTGTCTTTGCTTCTGCTTCCCCAGGCTCCTGACCCCTGGACGGGCCACGGGACCTGCAGGTGCAGCCGTCCAGGCCGCGGGCTGAGCACTGGGTGAGGGGGGTGGGGGGGCAGGTGTGCTGTCCCCTCCTGCTCTCGATGACTCTGCTCTCAGGATGCGCCCATTCTCGGTTTCGTTTCCCACAGGCCCGGCCCTTCTCGGACAGGAGAGCAACACAGGTCTGCGCCTTGGGAACAGGTACAAAGGTAACAAACGCCCGGTTATCCTGTAAGTGCTCCTCTCCTTTCCTTAAAGCTGGTGAGCACCGGCCCTGCCTCAGGGCAGCCTCCCCGTCTTTTCGCAGTCAAGCGAGAGACTCTGAGCTGCTGTAACAAAGAGGCCCTCGGACGCAGCTCGCAGCTCGAAGACTCTCCACTCTGGTTCTCCCAATGCAGCTGAGCTGAGTGTCCCGGGGCCACGGGCATGGTCAGGGTCCCTCAGGGTCAGGCCTACCCGGTGGGAGCTGGGTCTCGCCTGTTCAGGCTCAGCCTGAGGCCCATCCACAGCCCCAGGCCCCTGGATTCAGACAAAGTGAACATCGAGGCAGCCCGGTGGGGTGGGTGGGCAAGAAGGAACCTCTTCCTGCCGGCAGGAGGGAGGGGTGAGCCAGGGAGCTCCAGGGAGCTCGTGGGAGTCTTGAGTTCTTTCTGGAGTGTGTGCACGTGTGTGCATGTGTGTGTCTGTGTGTGCATGTGTGTGCACGTGGGATAGGACACACGGAGTAGGAGAAAGGTCATGAGCTCTGGCAGCAGGCCGACCAGGGCTGGCATGGGCTGTGGGACAAAGCCCAGGTCGCCGCCACTCTGAGCCTCAGTGTTCCTTCTCTGTAAAATGGGAGCAATAACACAGGTGCCATGAGGTGGCTGTAAGGGTCGGACATGGCACCGTGTGTCAAGCGCAGACAGAGAAAGGCTCAGGGACCCACAGCTGTCGCTGTCCCTGCTTCATGGCTGCGATGCTATGTTGTCACGGCTGCTCCTGTCTGTTCCTCTGAGAAGAGCAGACAGCAACCTGGACCCCGTCTCAGCCACGGGCGGGGGGAGGGGGCGCTGGGTACAAGCCCCGAGGACAGGCCCAGATCCATGGTGGGGGAGGGGGAAGCGGCCACAAAGGCGCCTGGCAGGTCGGGTGCCCAAAGAGGCAGATGGTGAAGCAGACTGAGCGCAGTGCCCTCT